TTTGTTTTTCACATTGGACTCCACCGTGAAGAAGGTGAAGATGGTGAAGTGAGGAAACATAGCCACACTGTGTAATGTACGTAATATTTAATTTCTCTCCAAATCAAACTTAGATTTTAGATCAACTTGCATTTATAAATAATAAAATTAATTTAAAAAAGCCTTTTGCCAACTAAAATCTTAAAAGTTCACACAACACTTCATGTTTTTTCACCATCACATTCCTCTCTCTGGATGATTACAAGGATGATAAGTACCACAGATTGATGGTGTGTATACATGTCAAGATGTACAAATTGTCCATAATTTACACAGATTTGCCCTTGTTTTGCAGGTGTACTAAAAATAGGGCATWTGCCCTATATATAGGGCAGTCTCACAGATTTTTTCAAAAACTCAGTTTCATATTTATTTGACATGTCAGAGCCTGTAGGATGTTAAAAAAACAATATCAAATAAATATCTTTGAACCGTATCTATCGCTATAAATAAGTCCTCTCGTCCTCATTTCCTTCTGCTTTGAGCTGCACGTACTGTCATGTTCCCGGCCGACAGTCTGCCTGCAGCCCCCCGTGTGTGATTAATACGGCTTTTTTGCGATACATTACGGATTTTTGATGTCCGCTGGGGTTGACATGTATGGGTGTCAGCGTGATTGTTGGAAACATTTCTACACCATGTTGCACATACATACACATATGTATCCCATACCACTCGCAACGCTATCTTTTATTTACTGTGACTCACAAAAATGATATTATTTTGTTCTCCACCTCACTCACCAGCACATCGATTTCTGCCTCAGTAAAAATGTGTTTGTTTGCTCTGTTTCTCCCGTGGGTTGCCATCGTTAACCATGAGATGACTTTCATCAGCTGGCTCATTTAAATGCACCTTAAATTCATGAGGTACTTTGCATTGACTGTTTATGGTTGAGTGTGGACATGTAGAGGGTAGAACCAGGGCTCTAGACTAAGTTTTTTCACTGGTTGCACTGGTGCGCCT